TGACAAGGACTGTGCTTTGGCAACAAGAGCAAGAATCGGTAGATATTATACGGGAGAGTGCCAACAAGAGAGAGCACGATAGGTGCAATACTCGGAAGCTAAAGGTCAGTTGGAGCTATGGCGTGCTAGCATGGGTCACCAGCAAGGTTTGTTTTTATGAAGGCTTTGCGTTCCACAAATGATATGCATGGCCTTAAGCACCTTGCGTGAAGGCTGCATGAAGGGCAAGCAGACAATTGAAGCATTCCCACGATGCTCTGAAACGAAGCCATCAATTGATTTCAAGCTAGTGCAGATTGATGTATTGGGACCCATGATAACGGTTTCAAAGGGAGTGATCAAAAATATCTTAAATTTTTTGGATAGTTTCTCACGATATGTGGTGGCACATTTTCTCGCAAAAATGAAAAGACCCGAAAAGATCAAGATGTTCAAAGAACCGTACGAAAGTCAATGGAGAGCTCGCATCAAGAGCTTGCGCTCGGGTTAGAAAACAGAGTTCGTCAACAAGACGGATACGAACTTATTTTAGCGAAACGGCATCGTGCTCCAACAAGCAGCACCATTCTTCCCTCAACAAAATGAAATAGCAGACCAAATGAACCTCACGATTATGGAAAAGGCACGGAGCTTGCTCCACATCAAGTGTGTTTCGACCTGTTGGTGGACAAAGGCGGTCAGCCCTGCAGTGTACCAAATCAACTGTATCTCCAACACAGTGCATCCAACCACTACCTCGTACGAGCTGGATTTTGAAGAGAAACCTTGGACGGATCACCTTCATGCATTTGGATCTCACGGGTACGCACACGTTGATGTTGTGAATAGAATGAAAATTCGATGCTAAAAGCTTTAAGGACATGTTCCTTCGATTAGCTGAAGACACCAAGGGATACTGTGTATACGATTCGGATAATAACAAGGTAACCTCTTCACGGTCGGTGACGTTGGGTGAGCGTGCGATGGGCGGCGTTTACGAATCTAACCTATTAAAGAAAGAAACAGAAATACACGTGACAAAGAACGACGATGAAGACGCGGCAAACTCAGGATGATTCTATGGGAGACGTTTCAGACGCTCAACTGGAGGGAGAGGGAATCGACATAAATCATTGTAGGGTTGATGTGCTCCAATTACCACCCAATGTGCGCTTCGAGGTAACAGTCCAGCACAAGACTTACAGGAAGATCGACCGGTCCACCGATATCCTGCTGAAATGGTGCAGGAAGACCAACTGGTATATCAACCTCGAATTGAAAGCCCAAATTGTGCGTGCGGACTTATGTTGAAGTTGGATAACAAATCAGATGACGAAGAATCCCGAGGATCCAAGGAGTACAAGGATTGATGAGATAGCCTTATAGTCGAAGCAGTTCTCGCTCACGCTGGAAGCATTGATGAAGAATCTGACTTGCCTGCCACATACGCGCAGGCAGTGGCTAGTGACGAGGCAAAACAGTGGCGCAAGCGGATGGTTGCCAAATTTCGATCACATCAGCCGAACGGACATGGACGCTCGCTCCATGGGGATCTATTGAGCATACGACTGGGTGCCTCTGGGTCTTTGCAAGGAAACGGAACCAAAATGGCAGTGTGGCACGTTACAAGGCACGATAAGTGACTTAGGGATCTAAAAAAAACAGGAAGGATTTGTTCAAGAGTTGCCAACATGAGCTCAAATCGAGTTGTACAGGCAGTTTGTGCGGCATCTGGCTACAAAATGAAACAGCTGGACGTCGCCACCCATACCGTATTTAGATGGTGAATCGCAAGGTGTCAAGGGGGCTCAAGGATCCAGATATCTTGGCCAAAGCAAGCTGCAAGTGCCTTGAGCAAGACAATTGACCATGTCTTCAAGAAGAGTGTTGTCAAAAGCTATGAACCGGGCCAATGCGTCTGCGTGAGGAAGTCGGAACAGATTTTGTGCACGCGTGTCTGTAAGTCAATGAATAAATCATTACAACCAAGACAAGTGACAAAATTTTAGAGGTGACGCACACGGAATGGCGACGTGCTTGGCGCTTTTCTGGACAAATTGCTTAACCACGTCGTCGATCTAGTGTGTCTGTTTGACCATTAGGGTTGCCGCTGTCCTTTCGTAATCGATTTCCATGTCCAAGATGAATTTCATCATGCCGAGTTCGTTCACCTTAAACCAGACTCAAACTGTCTCAAGTACAGAAGCGAGACTATAACGCTCTCTGATAGGCTGTCTGGTTTATATTACAACGTGCACTATCCGGACGTCGTATTTGTCGAAACGCAACTGTCTTGATTAATCGAGCATCACGCGTTACGACATTTGAACGCCGCAATTCGTATTCTACGCCATTTGAAGTCGACTCGTCATCACGAAATCATCTATCAAGGTTGGACTGGAAAGGTGGTGGCTGGAGCTTCTTCGGATGTAGACTGGGGCAGCAACACTGATGACAGACGTTCTGTATCAGGTGTTTAGATCACTATAGATAATGCTCCAACTGTAATCAAGTCCAGGTACCAGAGAACATCGCACTGAGCTCTGTCGAAGCCGAGTATATGACTCTTAGCTTTTGAACACAGGAAATGTATTGGACGCGCGCAATACTAAAGGGTATGGTTCACAAACAAGTGGGAGGCACGCGAATATGGGTAGACAGCCAAGGGGCTATAGCTTTGGCAAGCAATGCAGGCTATCACACTCTTACAATGCACGTGGACACCAGGCGCCACTTCTCTGGAAGAGCGCTCAGCAAGGATCACAGAAGATCGACAACATCGATACAAAAATCCAACTTGCAGATATGCAGACGAAGGGAGTCGGAACCAAAATGTTCAAGTTTCTGCGCGAGATATCAAGACCGATCCAGCGACAGATCACACTCGAGATTAGCGGCGAGTGGTAGTGCTGAGATTACACCGCTGAATGCGTGTGAATGACATCATAAGGATTACGGTAACGGTCACACTTGTGTGACTACAAGCATAATGGTAGTCGTTTGTTGGTCTAGATTAGTCAGGCTACAATTAGTAGGCAAGGAGGTAGCTCAGAGTAGCGAACCAAGGATCCTTTTCGTTTCTGTATTAACATTTTTAAACAATATTGTAAAGCACCTCTTGCGAAGCGCTCATGCAAATAAATGTATAAATGACCTTTTCTGCACCTAATCATCTTGAGTAAAAAATGCAATTTTGGTCTATTGTACCGGTATACCGCCGAGCTGTAGATCGCTCATTCGTAGCGACTGCTAAATTTTCAAAATGACTAGAAATCTGCTAAATTAATATGGATTTAAAATATTACCGCTACCTTCAGGACTCCGAAGATTAAATGATCCTTCCGCAACTCGTGCTCATTGCCCACTTTTGCGACAGTCAACATATTAATCTGCATCGAAGAAAAACATTATACAGAGCTGGCATTTTTGCTTCAGTACATTAAAGCGCCAAAATAAATCGCAGGTGTTTTTGACATCATTGTGTGTGTGAATTATACAACCTAGATAATTGCAAAACAATGTCCAGATGTTTGAAAGATCCTTGAAATAAGCAAACTGTCTTCAGAGTAGAACATGTGGTCCGAAAAATTTGCATAGAACCTATATTCTGATTGATGGCAGCAAAACTGCCTTTAGATATCCATTCACTAATGATGGTACAGGAATGCGCCTAAGATAGCCAGCTACGCTATGGCGTATTATCACATATGGCACGTATTTGATGAGCATGATTTGCATTAATACGTACATAGGGAGGCTGAAAATGAGATTTTATGGAGATGAGAGGCGTTGCCCGACAAACAGCTGCAAAAAGCTGATCTAACGGTGAAATGCATAGCTAAAATATCCAGCGCTGAAAGTAGTGCAACTGAAGAAAAATTTGACCTGAAATGGCATTAGAGGAAAGGCAGTAGCTTCAAGACGAAAGCGGGATAAATGATGGCACATCACTGAACAGACAACACGGCTCTATTTTATTTTTGCAAAACAAAAAAGGGTGCCGCCTCTAGTTTCTTCACGTTATCAGTTACTGTCATTGTTTAATATGTTGCAGCGTAGAGTATCGACTCAATCCCAAATATTACAAAACCTTAAAATATCTAAGTTACTGCATGGCTTAAAACTGGTTGGAGACACCAAGCCTTTCACGATGTCATCAGAAATCATGAAGTCTGAGATTTGCAGCTGAAGTAAATTCACTCTCGTATATCTATGTTCGCTCGTGTATCAAGAAAATTGAGGAAATAGGTAATCCGCATCAACTTCGATATGTCACGCATTTCTTTGGTCCTTGCAACATGATAAGAGTTATAATAAGCTGCATCTCCTTACGCCATTGACCTGTCGCAAGGATTGCTCACACCAATGTCGTTACAAAACGAATGTTTGCATGGTCGCGTATTTGTGGGTACAAATTGAGTGGACAACGTTTGGTGTTTTAGCTAATCACATGGCATCACATACAACAGTATACAGATTTATGCAGCACACCATTTGGTAAGTTAAACTTATACTTTCTGCGAGACTTATACACCCGCTTCCTCTGAAGTCATCACGATGAAACAGGCAGATAAGTTAAAAAACACTACACGAGCAGAGCCCATGTCTATAGCAAATGAGCAAAAGAAAAGTTTACTTCTACCAAAGCTTATCTCTGGCTGGTAGGAAGTCCTGATCTTGCTCAAGATATTAATATTCAGAATTATTAAATTATCTCTGATTTTGTGATTGAATGTGCTCAGAAATGGCCATACTAAAATCCATTTAAATCAATGCTGGACAAATTATTTTTCTGTGATCATCCTACTGTATATGTAGTAACGTTTTGTAACGTTTTCCACTTCACTGCTTCCCGAGTGGCTCCTTCAACTAAGTGAGCCTCAAAGTACAGATACAATCTACGTAAAGGGTAACAGCATTTGGCTCTATTGATGACAAGAGACGAGACGAATCTGTACAGTGGTCCGACCATTCGTGCTTTGGAGCGTCATCATCATTCATCATAGAGCACCTACCGATCATTTCTATAGTACCTTCTTTTCTACCAAATTTCCTTGAATTCCTTCAGATTCTTTGCATGATGCGAAGCTGCGGCTTCGATTCTCAGCTCAACTTTCTGAAGTCTGGATAGGACCATCAATTGTAGGCTAGAAATGCAGAGTCCAACACAAAATCCACCATTTTCTGTCACATGGCAACAATCAACGGCTTCAAAATCCTTATTTGACAAGCCTGGTTTGGCAAAAAATCCAAACGGGTATCACATCAATATGTCCGTGCCGCCTGCTACCATCTTGACGAAAATATCTCACTTGAACGAACGTAATGGAAAGATTATTTGCTGCCTTCCTGATTGAATAGAAAAGAAGAATGGCCACCATAAAATCTTTGGACATCATGTATCTAGCTAAAGCCAGCATGAACTGTTTCAAAATATCAGTCTTAGGTGCCAATTGCATGCGTATTTCCCATTATGCCAAAATTTGCTGAAAGACTCTCACTAAGAAGTTGAATGTCTACTGTAACTAGAGCCAACATTAATCCTCCAAAAAATAACATCGGGTAAATCGTACAACCTTCCGTTGCCTGTCTAACGCGCCGTCTAAACGTTATTGTGAATCTAAATGGTGACTGCTGATGCAGCACTTCTAGTAGAACTCATGCGGTATATAAGCTCTAGCATTCAAATTTCGGACTTTGTCACATATTGCCATTGCTCTCACCTGATGGCTAACCTCAGAGCAAATGACCTCTGAAAAGTGCTCTTCGGTTAGCCTAGATATACTGCTCGCAGAAGATTTAGATTATCACTTGTCGACACCTGTCACGCTCACTCATATCAGCAATACTTGTCATGTCCTTCTATGAAGAAAAGTATTCAGCAACGACACACCTGTACAAACATGGAGGTTGTGCTCTAGACCTGTTTGCAATGATTTCACAACTGCATGGTTACGGCTGAAGGTTCAAAGGAATTTATAGGAGACCGTTCCTTCGATGCGTTTCTATCACTTTTTAAATTACAGCAATTTCCTGCAACCTATTGAAGCAGCAATCAAATCTTTGTACATAAACTTTATGTTTTATAAGAATAACAATTAGTGATATTAAAGCGGTGTAGTCTTCAACACACATGCAGCATCTGGCACTACGACGAAATGTGCGAATGAATGCAACATGACCGGATTAAAGCCAGCTAAATTGAAAATTCCAAGCTATCAGAAACTACTTCGGCAAGATTATTAAGACTTTCTCGTGTATTGCTCTTGCCAAAGTAGTCAATTGACTATATCAGCGCCGGGCCCAGCACAGGGGTCAGAGAAACACTAAGGATGGACCGTGTAAGAATTCAGCATCAATTTGTCTCAAAGTGGGGCTCGCTTCAATTACTTTTACACGATCAATCCAGTGAGGCTTTCCCGCCGAGACTTACACTCGGCACGCGAGGATCTCCATGGACCAGACCATACTTGTATAATTGCCTTAACAATAGAGGCTTAGTACTTCATGTCGTGTTGTCGGTCGAGGCAGAAGTAGACACTAATAACGCCGCACCTTCAGGAGTTTCGATGGTTTTTTCCACAAGACTAACCGTCAAGTTTGTCTGCTGGGCAATTCTCAAGGCCCTTTCCTCATTGATCTCTCTCGCTATTGACGAAGACAAGGCCAGAGCTGGGTAAGATGATGCTGAAAATGGCGTAATAAAAGCGTCAAAAGCAGCCGCAATCCGAATGGCATTGGCTTGAAGCTGAATGTCGGCCGACCAAAATGCCTCCTCATCATCAGTTGGTAGAGAGTATCAACGAACAATCCATCCTTATTCAATTTGTCAGGCAAAATTGACTCAATGTCCCATCAGTATAAGACTTGTCGATTTTGTGTGGTTAAGAGACCGCAACTTGCTCATCTGTCCGCGAATGGCGAATACCAGAGCAACAATGTTTCGTGAAGTACCACCAGAACGTAAGATACATCGGTAGTTGAAGATAGCATCCCCGCCAACGCTTTCTTAAGTCCAGACGTTTCCTGCAGCTCCATGTCTTCGTGCGTGAACGACTCAATGAAAGCAGTTTTCTCGCCATTCTTCAGCTTTCGACATCTCCTGTGAGGCTCGACGGCCATGCGTTACCCCCGCCTTTGCTAAAAAGAGCTTCAGATCATTGCCTGTACCCGTGTACTGCAGCTTTGGTGTGATGGCCTCCTTCAAGTCACCAACCGACATACTCGCGACGATGTCCACAGATCTCGCCACACCTAAGGCGTGTCATATAAATTATTTACCAGTGATGAGAAGCTACGTCGTCGCGTAATCAAAATCAAAGCAGGATTTTCTTTTGCATGTAATTCCAATAATGCTACAGTAAAACCTGTCTAAATTAAACCTGTTCAATTTAAAACCCTCTTTAAATTAGATAAAAAATATGGACCCATGTTGGTCACCATACAGTAAAACCTGTCTAAATTAAACCTGTTTAATTTAAAACCCTCTCTACATTAAACACTGTCCCCCAGTCCCAACATGTTTGATTTAGACAGGTTTTACTGTATTTGTTTGCTTGGAGAAGTGGAGAACACCACCATCGCAGTAGATGCTACTGGGCGTATCATAGTTGATTTTAACGATTGGTAATCCAACACTTTAGCCCTACTCTTGTTCGTGAATCTCGTTAAGAAAAAAATTGCCGGCCTAATCTGCCAGGAGACACTACGAAGATTTGCATCTGAATAGCTCGTTGCTGTGTCCATGAAGATGATTGTGTGCAGTCTATGACGGAAATACGAGGTGCAGCGTTTGATGTGTTGTGTGCGTCACCAAATTGATGAACATGCCCTCAGCCTACAAATTACGTCTGATTGAGCTTTTTGTGGTGGCAAAAGCGAAAGAAATATACTCCGCTAACCGGGTGAACACGCTGCTGCGTTTCAAAACCGACCTAGTCCGCTCATCAGAGATAATTTCCTTCTGCCACCATGGTTGTCTCATATACCAAACTTTTGTCCTATGTTTCTGTAAGGAATCAACAGTCCCTGATGAGTTTGCTGCTGCAGTGTCGTTCAAGCACTACATAGAACACTTTATTGTCACATCTGTATCCTGACGCGATTCACTAGCGTTTGCACTAGATATAGATACTCTGCTACTTCTAGTCCAGATACTTTCGTCCTAGTCTCAAACCTGCCTGTTGTCACGAAAGCCGCTTCTACTTGGTCATGAATTCGCACAACGGATATGATTGATTCGTGTTAAACAGCTGTCATCGAGGCGCGACTCAGGCTCGTTGTATTGTGTATTCCTGAAACAGTGTTACAGTTTAAAAGGCCAGTGAGCTAGACGGGTAAGGGGTCCCCCTGGTGCAGTGGTCAAGCTCTGAGCCGATGACGCAGTAGTCACTGGTTCAAAACCCTCCTAGCACAGTTTTCTTATACATAGCAGGGCCTTGGGTATATCGAAGGAAAACACTTCAGCGCTCTTCGGAGGATGATATTAGGGAAACGGAAGATTACACATACCTTCCAGATGTAGCCTTTTTTACAGTCGACGCAACACATCGGCTCACGCATTGATGCCCTGCGTTTCGCCAATATAAGTCACCACATGTTCTTTTTGCTAGCTCTTCACCACGTGCTCTATAACGTTCATCGAACTAAGGCACTCCAAGTAAATTCGGAGACACAAGTATTGACATTCACTCACCCTTTCATGTGCGCATAATTTGCTGAGAATGGCGATGCGACTCTAATTTGGCAACGACGAACTGTCAACTTCATTTGACGGTGTGGTGGGTAGTTGCTATGACACCAACTCAGCTTCATGAGTCGACTATCGTGGTAATCTAATGTTGAAGACGGCGATTGTTGTCTTGACAGAGAATTGAAGGTGAATAAGCGGAGCAGCGTGCTGTGGTAATAGCCGCCCAAAATATTGCGCATTTGTCAAGCTTCTTGGGTTTCGTACACCACTTCCTAGCGCTGAGTTCCTTCACGTTGTTCATTGTGCAGATGGCGCATTCTGAGGGATAGGAATTGTTAAATTACTCTTTGAATTCGAGCACAAGTGTTATGGGGTTAGAAGTACCCTTGTATGAAACGGTGGGTCACACAAGATGTTGTGACCGTACAAAGTTGTGAATCACACAAGTTGGTGAAATCACAAAATGGTGTGGCTGCACCGTAACAAGAAGCTACTACGTGGCGGGATTGCCAGTACTTATGAATATCAGTTAAATTTTACTATCTAATAAGGAATACCAAAGGTGCCTTGATTAAGATTTCAGTACTCTTGGAGTGTAGCGGATCGCAATCCGCTACACTCCTATTGGTTTTTAAATAGAACGTAAGGTCGGTGACGCTTAACTTAGCTTTTTTTAAGCTAAGAGCAACGGCAGCCCGCTGCACTTGGTAGCAATTGTAGTCAATCTACGCCTGGGTCGTTATGACTGATTCTCTGCGAGGAATGAGCAATTCTCCTGTTTGCCCAGGAAGCTTAATAAACTGATGTCTCTGTTTGGCCCTGAGGGCGTGGGACACTTTTTTCGCAACGACCCGAAGAGATAAAGCACGCCTTAAGGCGTTTTCGAGCTATGAGAATGTGCTGCTATAGCACCTACAGCAGGAGCTGTCGACGACGAATAAATCCTCCTGACCCAGGTCGCTCATGTATACGTTAAGACCTTTGAGGATAAGGATGGAGAGAATCTCATGCTCTGGGTGAGAGAGGCCGAGGTGGCTATGGCATCCGCCACGCTCCAGAACGAGCAACAGCGCGTCGCGCTAGCTATCTCAAGCTCGGGGGCCAAGCGCAAGAATGGGCACTAACGTGCGGAGATTTGGTTGTAGCGGTGTTCCCCTCCTGGAAGTAGCTGAAGCGTCAGCTTTTGTGAGTGTTCTCGCCGCCTTACCAGGCATATCGCGTGCGATTGCGTTTCCCTTGTCGCCCGACAAGGCAAAAAGAAGCTGGTAGACTTTGTCCAAGAGTACTCTTATTGCTGAGATGGCAGCCGATCTTCTTTCCGAGGCGGTGACAGTGGCCTTCTTCATGAAGGGCTTTCGCACTGGCGTTTGGTCGATCGACTTGGTCTCGATTTGGTAACGGACGGAGTAATACCGAATATCGATGTGCTTGGCTCGACTCAGATATCCGTCATTTTTGGTTATAGAAATTGCACTTTGGTTGTATCCGTGCACAACGGCTGGATGATCGATCTTTATCTTCATTTCAGGCAACAAACGCTTTGTCCAAAGCACTTCTTGGATGCATAGTGATAGAGCTACGTATTCGGCTCCAGCAGTGCTGAGTGCCACACTTTGTTGTAGCTTTAACTTGAATATCACTGGGGACTTGTTGATCATGACCATGATGCCTGATGTCAAACGACGGTTTTTCTTGTTACTTGCCCAGTCGGAATCCGTACATGCACTTAGTTTGAGTTTTTCAGGAAGACCTTGATAGCAGATTCCTTTTGTCTCAGTTGACTTGAGGTAACGCAGCACACGAATAGCCGCACTCCAATGTACTTCACTTGGTTGTTCTAGATGTCGGCTTAGCTGGCATTCCGTGAATGCAATGTCGGGTCTTGTTCCACTCGCCACATATAGAAGTGATCCGACAGGAGATCGATACGGACGGTTCTCCATTCTCGGATCACTTTATTGCACTTGCTCAGAAATTGGCCCATCATACTTGGGTTGTTAACAGACTTGGCATTAATTTGATTGAACTTTTCCACCATTCTGGCAATGCATGCACTTTGACTTATTTTCAGCTTCTTCCACTGCTGCTTGTACTCGAGTTCTATGCCAAGAATAACGCGTACGTTTCCCAATATCTTGAGTTTGAAATGACTGGAGAGCTCATCGGTAACTGCATTGATCAGGTCAACCGACTTTGCTCTAATGAGCATGTCATCAACATACAAAGTAACGTACGCCCATGATCTTCCAACTTGTCGAACAAAAATGCACGAGTCTGAAACACATGCAGTAAAACCCATATCGATAGACACGCTTGAGATCGTCTTGAAACAGGTTGCTGCAGCTTGTTTTAATCCATATAGACTTCCATCCAGTTGAAAGACTTGGTTTGACTTTGCTTCGACACTCTTGGGCCGGATAGGTGTACACTTCTTCTTCGAGGAATCCGTTAAAAAACGCAGTGTCAACATCGTACTGGCGGATAAACAGACCAAAATAGCAACATACTGCCAGAAAGACACGAATCGAGTTCAAATTGCGACTGGAGAATACGTTTCCGAGTAGTCCACACCATACGTTTGTCGATAACCTAGTGCCACAAGTTGAGCCTTGTATCGCTCAATTTCACCATGCTCATTATACTGATTGCAAACACCCACTTGGTACCTATCACTTTCTGACTTGGATTCTGTTGCACCGCTGACCATGCCTTTTTTCTTCCAACGCTTTCGATTCAGCCTTGATTGCATCATATCACATCTTTGACTGCGGTGATTTAATGCATCTTGATACGTCGCTAGAGTTTCGAGAGTAGCATTCGCTTGTTCATATTCGAGACGATAGCGCTTCGGAGCACGTTCCACTTGTTCTTCGTTTGTCCGTGGAATGATCGCGTCGGACCTTTGGTCTGGAACCAACGTGTGTGAATTCCGGTTTGGTGGTGGTGCATTCGGTGCAATATGCCAATTCGGTGCAATATGCCCACCGCATTAAGGCGACCGGAACACAAGGAATTGATCGATCGCTTCCAATCTCCCCCTGGGCACAATTGCCAGATTCGTTTCCACATCGTCTTCGCCCGATTCCATATAGACATCATCAATATCAAATAGCGGGTCGCACTCATACTCGGATCTTGGATGCTGGGAGATTGTAACTAGTGTCATACTTGAACCGCTTGGAGGCACGTTAGTTGTGTCGGTTCCAGTTTGGTCGAAAATCATTGGCTCGACATTGCTGCAAGTCGATACCACAGGCACTTGTAGGCAATCTTCACTCTTCATCTTCATCTTAATCCTCATCACCATCATCTTGCATACGTTGAGAGCTTCGATCACCACTAACGACTTGCACGTACTTCGATCTTGGTAATTCTTGAAACACAGCTGAACAAGTTATTCCCACTCGCTTCATCTCGAAGTTCCATACACGATATCCTTTAACTTGACCTGAATATCCCAAGAACATACACTTGTATGTTTCCTTGTTAAACTTGACACGCTTTACCTTCTCAATGTGTGCATAGCCTAGAGCTCCAAAAACTCGCATGTGTGAGAGATTGGGTCGCAAACTTCCAACGGGGTATTTCTTTGGGTGGGCGGCTCACGGAACTCGGTTGGTCACATATACTGCAGTGTTCATAGCTTCGGTCCACCACTTCCGTTCAACTTGCATATAGTTTAGCATCGATCCTGCTCGCTCCGTAATTCTTGTGTTCATCCGTTTTGCCATCCCGTTCGGTTGTGGCGAATACGGAACCGTTGCTTGGTGAATGATACCGGTCTTTTGACACAATCTAGCAAAACGATTGTTGATGTATTCGCCACCATTGTCGGTGCAAATACACTTGATCTTGGCACCCAGTTGATTCTCCATCATTGACCTGTACTCGATGAATAAATCCATCACTTCCGATTTGTGGGCGATATAGCACACCGTAACGAGTCTCAAAAAATCGTCGATAACGTTACGATGAACCTTGCTCCACCTTGTGACTTAGTCTTTATCGGACCCATCACGTCGCTGTGAATGAATTGGAGCACTGAAGTGGTCTTCACTTCAACGTAGCTTGACTTCGGGAACGGCTTTACCAACGATTTGCCATTTACGCATCCTTCACAAATGTCATCCTCCTAGGTCTTTTAGATGACAATCGATTCCTTCATCTTGAATCCATAAACGCAATCGTCGAGAGTCTTCATTGTCTTTATAGGAAAATGTCCCAATCGAGCATGTCACACACTTGGATCCACTGGTTTGGTATCCTGACTCACCTCTTTGCTAATGATAGCAGATTCCACTGAATTACTCTCCAATACAAACAACTTGCCCTTCTGGGTCACTCGAATCACAATTTCTTTATCGCTCTTGATCTTACACAATGCTTTGCCGAATGTTACATGCATTCCTTTTTCAGACAACGCTGGAATCGAAAGAAGTCTTTGATTCAAATCTGGGACGTAAAGCACATCTTCGATCCGAATTGGCTTCTTGTTCTTTAGTATAACTCGGATCGTCCCAATTCCGGCAGCCAAAACCTTGCCACCATTTGCAACTGAAATGACAATCGGTCTGTCGAGTGGACGAATATCATCAAACTCATCTTGAAATGGACACATATGACTGGTTGCACCACTGTCGAGTAGCCATCCATCAGAACCACGTTCACATCCCATGAAAGCCTGTTCGTCTTGCTTTTTGTTGTCTGAATTGTACCAGCAGTCTTGTTTCCGGTGCCCATATCTTTTTCGTACGAACCATTTTTGCCTTTTATCCCTTTAGGTCTGGGACCTTTGCTCTTGTAGTCTTGAGTCGCCTTAAGAGCAATCTCATTGCTCTCTTTTTTATTCACGCTTTCACACTCTCGACGTAGCGTTTCCTTGGCTTGAAATAGATCTTTTCTGGGCATGTTTTCGATGATCTTCACAATCGGGTCGTATTCATCTGTTAGAATTCCACGAAGAAACACAAGTTGTTTGTCTTGCGAAACTTCTTCACTGATGGCTTGCATTGATAGGCACAACTCATCGAACTTGAGAAAGTGATCTATTACGTTTCCACTCTTTTCATATTAAAATCATGCAGTTGATGACGCATCTGGATTCGATTGTGAATGCTTCGACGAAGAAAAAAAATCTTCAAAATCTCCCACTCTTGAGCAGTCGATTGTGCAGTCCGAATCATTGAATGTAAGCATGGATTGACCATCATCGATAGAATCGCGAAGGCCTTCATTTGTTGGCATTCCATCCTAACCCCGCAGCCTCATCTTTACTCGGGGCTTTCGTTGTATCGATGTGTTCAAGTAGTCTCTTCTTCGCGAACTTCATCCGAGCGTTGAACTCCCACATGAAGCAGTTATCTCGCATAGTATGGCGTTGGCTTTGGTCGTATTTGGGCTCATAACCTTTTGTAAGTGTTTTGCAGACTTGTTTCCGAGAGAAAAAAATGGAAAGTGAATTCAGATCCTTAGTTCGTTGCCACTCTAGGCCTGGTACGACAGTTCTAAATTGGCTAGTGGATTTCTATCCACAAGCCTCCAAACATATAATTACTGCGAAGTACCCACTATTTGTCTTACGCACAGTTATGGGTAAGAGACACGTGAAGCTCGTCCACTTGTACTATACCACACGACGCTTGGTTTCCACTGATTGACTATCATCAACAACTTCGTCATGGTGTTTAACTTTGGTACCTCTGGCGTTCGCTGTCAATCTGACGGCAATATTGTAGTTTCTCCGTACGGCATTCAAGCGTACGTAACCCGTTGCAAATTTGTTGAACAGCATTTGTCTGGTGTGAAGCAAGCTTTTTTCAACACAGCATGTGAGGCATATAATATGATAGTTGATGGGCACAAGATTGTTAATCAATTATGGTTGTCATTACCTGCCTGCGTATGAATCTTCTCGGTACGTCTTAATATTGTGATAAAATGCCGCAACCATTTGCGCATGTTTCAGTTTTATATATTAAGAGGTTGCGAGAAAGCACTAACTGTAGGCTATGATAAAGAAATAGTCAACTTTAACAAAATGTCAACAGGAGAATAATATAATAAGACTCATTTGCTGTCATCGAGAGAAAAGCCGCAATGCCTATATGAAGACTGTATGGGGCATAAGAGCTTTAAGGCTTAGTTCTTTATATCTGAATGGACAAGACCAAGGTGAGCTAGACATTCACGAAGAACGGAAGTCGCGAATTTAATATATGTCCAATATTCATGCAGAATATGTTTAAAAGTTGTGAAGTTTTTTACGCAGCGAAAATTATATAATTGAAAATTACGGTAGTTTTACTGTTAACTTGTGCAAAAGGTAGAAAGTTTTGAGTGTGTTGCGCAATTATATGATGGGCTCGATTCTGCGATGCCACATGCACATCTTGCTGATAACGCCTCTGTATAATGTCTCTCCAGAAGTGAGTATGTAAAGTATTACAGATCTTCTAGACTGATTGAGATCCTCGCAGCATAATTCCAATTAAATTTTACGACGCTCGTCAGTCGACCTGAGTGAATTGTTCGGAATCGATGCCTCATTTTGTCGATGAGATTAGTGTGCGTTTAGATTCGAAGTGGTTTTTTACTACTCTCATTGCTAAAAAAACAATCAGAGAGCGAGAATATATCATCATAAAATCATATCTATATTGAGAGTGTTGCCATTTTTACAAGGTTATCATCTAATGTTTCTTTCAATTACGATGTTAAAAAGCATGCCTAGCTTGCTAATAAAAATGAAATCTTTGAGTGTCGAGAAAAATCAAATTGATACTGTGAATAAAGTATGAAGTAGTTACAGTAATGGCTGGTGCTATTTTAAGGCTTCAACATCAAGGGTCTATTTCGTAGACGATCGTCGTCGTTTGACCCACAGTTTTGCAGACGATCATCGTCTGCTCAAATTTATGTAGCAGACACACGGACAACAAGACCCAGATAAAGCTATTGCAGTAGGGACGGTCGCAACCAACATTGATCTGGATCTCCTTTACGTCAGTAAGTTTATCAGCAGCTGTATTAAATTGGTCTGTCGATGAGCTCGGTGCATGATCTGCATCATTACTAGCAGCATTGATGGTAAGCTAATAGAAGCTGAGTCGCCACAACAGCAGCTGTTAATCTTGCCCCGTAACTTGAATCCCTCCAGTGTTAATTTTTTAAGCGCTTTTTCCACAAATATACATGTAGAAAATTGAACAATCGCAATTCAATACTGAAACATCAGGTACTAGCTCATAGAAGTGCCACGTACGTACGTTTCAGATGGGAAATCAAGCGATTGTGTAGAGCTTACGTACGGTAATAAGGATATCCGAGTCGGATACTCGTGAGATGAGCGAAATAAAAGAAGTTTCAAGCCAAAATTTTGACGTTTCTACGTGAAGTACGAAACCGATAGCAATCACACTGTAACTGCATGTACCCACTTTTACAATCTTATGGCAGACAGCCACTGCGAATCCAGTAAGTACTGATACATGAACATATACAGTGTCTTAGCTGCATTTGAGTGTGGGCTGTGGTTTAAGGAAATACGCCCAAAGTTTATATAAAAGAATGGGCTTTACTTTGTGGTCAGACAATCTCGCATTCCGGTGAATGTTTCAGGATGATCCCTCGCCAGCTAAATTCGCAACCAACTCCAAAATTGCTCTGACAGAAGCTTTCCTTTTAGCCAATCAAAAATGGATTTCAGATTTCTACTCAGACCAGACTGCACCAGTCTGATGATCTACGTCAGCTGGTGGCGTTAAAACGTGTAGGGCAGTGGAAACAATTATATAATGCCTTCTGGTCTGTGACCGGTGTCTTCCATTTTCGCAGATGGGTTGCTGCACAAAATTACTGGGCTCACCCAGCAGCAAGCAGCACGTACTCCGCAACTTTCGTGCAGGCATGCTGTAGTGACGCCTCCATGCACGTATCGCAAGATTCTATTCTACAGTAGAATGTAGCATGTCCAACACAAATGCTTTGCCCTACCCTATACATGTACATTACCTATCGCAACAATACTATGGAAGCTCGATATTCACCGGTGCTTACCGAACCCATCTCATTCTACAGTAGATCATATCGGGATAGGGGAAGTTCTTTGCATGTTGATGACTCGCAGCGCACCTCTTACATATCCTACTTTAGCGAAGTGACACCTCGCATGGTGCACTGTCCCGTCTCGATTCGCGATGGATCTGTGGATTCATCGGCCTTCGATACAATACCGTTTGTGCACAAGCAAGAGAGCTTTTTTGCTGCGTCTTTAGCAAACATTAGAATAGCTTTGCACCGGACAAAACGACCAGGCTTTATTCTCCGCACATTAAGTGTGCACAGACAGATAGCTAGTTTTCTGTTACCAAAGAATTACTTGTTATTTCAAAATTTGAAAGAGGTGACTCGTCTGATTTGCAATCGTGGCATCATTGCCAGACAATGATCGTTTCGTGCTCTTAATTTAATATAAATATGTTGGCCTTCTAATCTATGAAATAATGCTACTGGCCATCTCATGTTATATTTTAGAAAAAGCTAAGTTAAGAGCAAAGTCTAAGAAGCTGCCAAAACGGCCAGACAGCAGTTACAGCAAAACATGTCAAACATGTGCGTGCTATAGACCGGACATTCGTAGACATCTGACCTTTAAAAGGTTAAGATAAGACATTTTAAGAAATTTAAAGATGAGTAACGGACATGAAGCATGGGTTCTCTGATTCAGCCTCAGATCCCTCTGCTCTGAATAACAACATGAGATAAATACTGGATTTTGGATATATTATCGAAACGTGTGTCGCCCTACCTCGTGTCTGATTTTTCCACCAGTGGCTTATTTTTAAAATAATGTTTGGTTGAAGTTCTTCAAGAAAACCAATCAAAGTCGTCTTGCACGCAATAGACGAAGACGAGAGCCGGGCGCGTAACATAGAAACATCAAAGATGACCCATCTGCGCCACGTTTCACCAGCCACTCGAACCTGAGTTGAGCATCCCGTTTCAGGCTGAAATTCAGCACCCTGATGCGTCCCGCTACCAAGCCCTTCTCTGCCTCAGCACAGCCGAATGAGTTTCGATGCGATTTGTCCAACGTCGCTTTGAAGAAAAGAGCAGAAGCGAAGCAGGGTCGGGTGCGTGCGACCAGAAAAGCCATTGCAAATACAAATATGACGACAGGGGCAATCTAGCTGCAACGGCTAGCAAGCCTCTCTGGATCACAATTCATTTTTCATCGTTGCCAACGCACCTCAACTCTAACAGTATATCAATAACAATCATGCCAGCATCAAGTACTACAACATCTTCTTCGCCCATGGTCACTAGACCTGTGAAGTCGCCATTGTCGGTTCAGCGACCTACACTGAATAAACGCAAGCTCAGTGATGTCTCAATTGCTTCTCCAACGTCACTTGACGAAGTGACTTCTACTAGCAGCGCTGACGAGAGAGTAATTTCGCCGAAGAAGAAGGCGAAATCCGAAGACCGCTCCAGTGTTGACTTAAATAAATGGGAGAGGAATGTTGGAACAAGTATCACATGCGCGCTCGGCATGGACGACAACGACCATCCTTGCAGAGTCTTTGAACTAGAGCCGATCGCCCTCTCAGCGGCACCAGTGGATGATTTTGCTGCAGAAGAGCTCCAAATTTTACGCTATTTTTTGTTATGAGCGGTTCCTACAATGGCTTTCGACACAAACTGAAGCTTGAGTGTTCCCAGCCAATAATTTAGTCATACACACTAGATTGGTGAGCTTTACGTACTGCTGACAGATACTAGCGGTGTCAACGTCAGCTACCAACGTGCTCATCAGCAGAGTTGCTGCAGCCGCAGCGACGCCTCGATAGCCTCGATAGCCGCGATATCAAAATAGTGTAGACTAATTAGGAGTATTTAACAAGACGGTTTCTTACCATCGTAATGTTATTTTATATCGAACACACGTAGTTTTAAATCTACAAATTTGCTATTATTCTTGAGTTTGATTCAAAAGCAGAATATCAATCTTGCTTGCTCTATAATGGCCAACGAAACTATAGATATCATACAATAATTATAGACTACTCATGTTGCTGATCGCCACATCCCAACGTTAACAAATGACTCTTGCAGCGAGTCGCTGTGCTGCCAGCAAATTATCAACAGCTGAATAAGGATTTGGGTGCGTGCAGCTGCGGATATAAATATAAAGCAGCTCCGTATAATCGCAACATGTTCGCCTATCGCCGGACCGTTGGCGATCCGCGCCTCGCAACACTTCAACTTCCGTGTGTCGTTGCTCGCTCCCATCTCTATCCCCAGATGGCTAGCCCCAAAGTAAAGTATCTACGCATTTGAGAATGAGCCGATCATTCGGCGTGAGATTTGTTCCAGGTGTTTAAAATTTACCATTCTTACCATTGTCTCCTGTCGTCGCACGCTTTGTGCGACGACAGGAGACATGACAGAACGTGAAGAGTGCAGATCATGCCTATTTTATAAGGTGACTCATCGTCCCTAAATCACATAGACCGAGCGGGATCTGATGCATACTCTCACCAGACTAAAAATTCATTACTTTATCCCGAATCATCGACAGCGAATTTACTCGATCAGGTATAAAATACAATACCCACAACCCCAATATCATTAACTTCAAATGATCCAAAAAAAAACAAGGACGGATGGTGCAACGGGGTTGCTACGCACTTCGCACATAGAAAGCTTCGACACAACAAGTTCTCGTCGGCTGACGCACAGATTATGGCTCCGTATATTCCACCCAGGAGCGGAATTGAGGTAATGAGATGCCTAGTTTGCTTTTTAATCTCAAGAGTAAAATATATATGATACAAGTTAATAAAGTGATGCTAAATACTTTTATCTTACTATGCTACAAATAATATACTTACTTTACTATTTCACACAATAGTACATATATATATGTATGTACACAATAGTACATTCAAATGACAATTTTGCAGAATAATCTTGTGCGATTTGCAAATTACACATTTGTGCATGAGGATGATGGAAAACCGTAGAATGGGTCAAGCAATGCAGATGCTTTGATTAACCCTAGAGCAAAGAAGGATTATGATACATGAGAGGCTCTCTGCAACGGAAACTGCGTACTTCACACAGAGAAAGCGTCGACTTAAAGAGTCTGCTTTAGTAAATGCACAGATTTTAGGCTCAAGCAGAAGCAGATTAACGAAAGCAACTTATACTTTAACTCTAAGCACATGAATTACGAATTGATCTACCGAGATCAATGCTAAATGTATTCATTTACTATCTCTTGTAATATATCTGTCATTTTAATGTACAAGTAGTAAATCACCCGCACCTATCCTATACGAAACCCCATTGCAATGTGGTTGCCTTGCCCTTTGCACAGGGAAAATATCCGCATTAACTAACGCACAGAGATTGGGTTCGAACCTTACAAATAGAAGCAAAACCGATGTAACTTGTTGTCTCTAAAATTTCTAATATACACCATATTTTTATTCAAACTAGATCATCGTACCATAATTTTTATATTTGTGAGAATTGAAGTACCATATTTCTGTCTGCGCTAGCCCCAATAAAACCATATACTGTTCCAAATCACAGTATAGTATCATTTACTGATTTATTTGCATCATGTATTTACATGTTTTGGTTATTATATTCCAATTCGTATCATACTTTGATACAAAATTATATTATCGTACCATATTTATAAATGTTTAGCATTGAAGTACCATATTTTTGTCTGCGTAAGCAACATCATACCACACTTTGGAACAAATCACAGTATAGTATCATTTATTGATTTATTTGCGCTATATATTTACATGTTTTGGTATTTTTATGCAAATCTGTACCATACTTTCATACAAATTATATTATCGTAACATATTTATTATTTTTTGAGCATTGAAGTACCATAATTTGATCTGCTTATGCAACATCAATCCATACTTTGGAAAAAATCACAATATAGTATCATTTTTTGATTCGTTTGCATCATGTATTTA